TCGATAGGAGTGATGAAAGACCAACGCGCTGTTGTCATGTGTGTTTTAAATATTTAATTTAATGAAACTTATTTACTTACTGATTACAAATTTTGGCTTAACTTAGAAAAACTTAATGTCATTTATTTGTTAATTACCCAATTTAAAAACGTCTTAGATTAGATTAGGGGCCGTTCAAGTATAACGTGAGCACTATGGGGGGTCTTTGCTTTGCTTATTTTGGATGACATGAGGGTAGGGGAGTCTAGATGATGATTACGTCATCGGTAGTTATTTACTTTTTTACACGAATGGCAACAATCACATTGTCTTTGCTTGAAAACGAAACGCATTTTCGGGGATTCCCGCAAATAATGCATACGTTTAGTGAACAGCGCGCGGTAATTCCCCTACTCGCTTTAGAACCGAGTAGGGGAATTACCGCGCGGTGTTCACTTGTCTAAATTTCTTTATCAGTGTATTGTTTCGTTTGGATACTATAGCGAGTAGACGTATTGTAACCATAGTAAAGCAAGTTAACATTTGTGTTACCATTGGTTCCATTAGCCAAAGTTTAATGTTTAAATAAGATGTTGTTTCACATAGACAAATCCAAGCTATACCAAAAATTGTTTGAAAGTTTTAAAAAATCTCATAGTACGAAAGTACAAAATGTACAAAAGTTAGTTAACGAAGTGTGGCGAAATTACAAATTACAAGCAAAATCCGACAAGGAACTAGATATTATTGTATCTAAGAGAATCAAAGAAGAATTGCAACCGGCGACTAAGAATAAATCCAATCTACTAAATTTTTTTTCTAAGGTGAGTGACGAAATCATTTTAGGTACCTATGAGTACTAAAAATATTATATATTATGGCCTATCTCAAAGTATAGAGGTAATGTTCATTATATTATAGATTTATTTCTTATGATTGATTCCGTCAATTGGTCACAAAGTACAGGACGTTAGTTTTATACATATATACAAAAAACTAACACCCTGTATTTTGTGACCGAAACAAATTGCTCGTTTAAACATATTAGATTTTAAGCCCTAGGGTTTTGTATTTACCATATATATTGCCATACTTTGTATTTATGTAGCTTAATAAGAGAATCTTTAGCAGAAGCTATAGAAAGTTTTATTTTTAGGCAGCCTATAAACCTGCAGAAAAAACACAAATTATACAGTCAGCTTCAAATATTAAAAAGTGAAAGAAGATAAAATAAAACCCGGTAATTAATCACAACAGCAATGCGAAATTAATGAAAATACAGATAAACAGAGAGCAAAACCTTCTCAGGAAGCTATGAAAAATAAGATTGCTCTACTCGAAAAAAATCTGAATGCTTTGTCTTCTGCCAGAGATACTATGCCAAGCGGTGCTGAAGTTGATAAACAGATATTAAGTTGCGCGAGGAAATAAAAATAGCAAAACAGTCTTTAAACAGGAAGGTTCAAAACGCAGTTGCCCAGAAGAAACACAGGGATGGTATGAAAAGAAACTTAGAAGATATTTGTCATGAAAATACAAAGATAAAAAAAGACTATCTCTGAGGGATTCAGTGGGACGTCCTAATCTTGAAAGCAATCAACATTCACTATTGAAAACAATGGCGGATATAGCTTTATTTGGAAGTGCAGCAGATGATAGAAGACGAACGGAATCAATTCGCAGCGTAAAAACTCTTGATAAACTCACACAAGAATTTCGTAAAATAGGATTTGACATTAGTCGCAGTGGGACATATCTTCGTTTGATTCCCAGAAAATCTAATTCTGCAGAGGGACGAAGACATGGATCGACAGTCCCTGTTAAGATCATTCGGGCTCAAACTGATCACCACAAGAGCCATTTAGATAGCAAGTTCGCTGACACATCAATCCATTATTTGGAGAACATACCATCCATACTTGGACCAGATCAAGTACTTTTCATATCTCAAGATGATAAAGCTGGAGTCCCTATTGGCGTAACTGCGGCAAATAAGCATGCACCTCTTCTAATGCACATGGAATATAGAATCAAATTTCCTGATCACGATTGGGTAATCGCTAAGCGTCATAAATTAGTACCATCTGTTTATGCTGGTATCAAAATCACTTCCAATATGCTAGGACAACCGCAAGACGTTGGATATTCTGGACCAACATACATCGCTATTCGAAGTGGAAAGCATAGTTCATCTACTGCTAATACTCATGCTCAGGATTTCGAGACGCTTCTCGAACGAAGAGTTTCGACCATTAGCTAAAACTGACCATGGACTAGTAAAACCAGTGGTAATCAGGACGGTTGATGGAGGGCCAGATGAAAATCCACGTTATCAAAAAGTCATAGGGTTTGCTATCCAACACTTTAAGCGACATGATCTCGATGCATTGTTTTTAGCTACCAATGCTCCTGGAAGAAGTGCGTATAACAGAGTAGAGCGCGGAATGGCTCCTCTTAGTCGGGAACTGGCTGGTTTAATATTGCCTCATGACCATTTTGGGTCTCATTTGGATGAACGTTACAATTGATGAACATTTAGAAAGATCTAATTTCGAATTTGCAGGAAATGTATTAGCTGAAGTATGGAGTTCAATGGAAATTGATTTTTTTTTTCAACATATATTGGCATTGGAAGTTATCCATTTGCCACAGATGTGTGTTACTTATATTTCTCTAATTATGGACAAACACACCACGTCACAACATCCATGGCGAAGGCGAGATTCGAACTCGCAGCCCGGCCGGCCGGCTGATCAGTAGCACGACACTCTGACCAACGCGGCCAACCGAGGCCCCAATGGAAATTGATGGCTATAATGTTAATGCAAAATATGTTGGGGCAGGTGAACAAGATCTTCCTGATTTTCCAGACATTAAATGGTATTCAGAACATGTGCGTGAGAGCCAAATTGTAAAATGTAGAAATACAGAATGCTGTCGTCCAAGGAGTGGCCTATTTAGATTACTAGACAATAGGTTTCTTCCACCACCTGTAAAAGTAAAACAAACAGTTGATGACTTGGTTTTGGATGAAGGAGGGCAATTTCTTAATCTTCCAGTCAATTTAGCTCTACGCTTAAGTGCTTCACTCAAAGATTTCCTGCAAATGCCCTACGATTATTTTTGTCCGACGGTAAACTTGAGGCTATCAAGTCGAACATGCAAAATGTGTGGTCTTTATCATGCTTCTGTCAAGTCACTAAATCGTCACATCGAAAACATCCATAAAAAAGTAAGCACGCACACTGATAGGAAAGCTAGACCTGTAAGAGTCGCTGCTCGTCGTGCTAATGAGCTGATGTGCATTATTCAAAATTTATTTTTCAAATTATAATTATAACGTGATAATTATAATATTTAAAAAAACAATACATTAATTGACAAATGTTTACGTAAGCATGGGGGGAGGGAGTAAGAGCTTTGCTTACTTTTGCTGACAAGGGGGATGAGGGGTAAATAATTGTAATAAATCTGCTTATGTAATACTTGAACGGCCCCTTATAAAAATTAGTAAGATTGTGGTGATTGTGGTCGATATACAGCACTTGAAGTTGTAAACTATAACGCCATTTAGACAAAAATCTATTGACTTTTGGACCATGGGTCACATGAACTTTTTGACTTGTTTTGACTCCCCCTATTACCCATTTCAATAATGACTACCATAATGTTTACACCCTGTATGTATTTCATGTCTTCTATCTCATTTCACCCATCAACGAATTATAACAATGTTTCCCGTATTTTTGTCTTTGATATGACCGGGTTTCTTATAAAATAGATTTTAGAATACCGAAAAATCGATTTTTTCAAATGAATTGGTCGGTACAAAAGCTTTGAAAGTCCCACAATTTTTACAGTAAAAACTGTGTCACTGACAAACAAACCAGTTTTATACTTTTTTGTGATCAATGTAGTGTTTGAGTTCCGAACGATTGAAATTTCGAATAACCTCCATATTTCATCGATAGGAATAATTGAAAAAGCCGTTATGGGCTTACGTTGTTGAATATTGGCTTATTTATATGGCAGATGTCTTAATTTTGCATGTATTAATACTTTTAAGGTATATAGAGAAATCCCTGGCAAAGGAAACGCCTGAGAAAGTCAAATTTCTTGTTTTACAGCTAAACCATAAATCGACCATCGTGAAAAAATATTCTTTCTACTTTCTTCAATAATCGGCAATCGGTTGTAGAAGAATCCAGGTGCTTATTTGACTATTAGGCATCAAAACTTATTTTTGCAACGAAAAAAATGACATTGCAAATAGGTGTTGTTTTTAAAAGGCTTATAATGGCTTAACTAAGAATTTTTTGTAGAAAATAAAATTTGATACAAAAAAGGCCAGTTACGTTGATGGTTCTTGGAGCATAAGGAGGAAAAGTTGTCATTCTAAAGTGAATCCATAACTTTACTGCCTCGTGAAAGTATGAAAATGTAATATTTTTTAATAATTTGTGATGTTTTCATTACGAACACCAAGCTACTCACCCCGATTAGTCTGTCCATTGGCGAATTTGTTATTGTGTAGTTTCAGTAACCGTTGCAGCGATCCTAACGGAAGAGGAGATGTAACAGATGATGGTGGCTATGGCATCAATCCCATCTATGAAAATCATCGCAACGAATGCTGAGGCTACGCAGTAACAAAAAGGTCAATAGACATACAGATGGAAGTAACAGACTTGCATTGTCATGATGATGACAGCATAAATTATCTGAAAATATTACATTGTTTAATACTTACGCAGTAACAAAAAATATTGTTTATCAAAATGGCGGCAAATGCTCCAGCCCTATCATGACGCTAACTTGATCTTATCATTGGGTAGCAATAATCTCATAATTCCACTAAAAAATATACGGTTGTCAAAATTGTGCAGAAAAATTTCTATTTCTTGGCCGATACAGACTCTGAATTAAACCGTAGTCGGTACAATTTTTTGCGCAAAACACGCTCTCATTATAAACCACCATACATTTATCTATACCAACGCTACTGTTCAGTCTGATAAATAGTCAACGAGCAGTTGGAGCTACGTTTGTACCGAGACGTGCAGTGGTTCGCACCGTGCAAGGCATGCTGGATAGTGCTAGCAGTACCGCGTCGGAACAGCTCCTGTTCTGTGATAGTAGTTGATAGTGATAGTGGGTGCACGTTTGGAACCACGCTGTGATATGGATAGTATTATTATTACTTCACTGTTAAACTTCACGATAAGGTGAGAAATATTTTTCTAAAAAGATCTGGTTTACTGACTTCCTGCATTAATTTAAAGAAGCAGTTTTATATAAGCATATACATGTGAAGAGTGTTCTGTGGCTATGTCCCAAAACAAACGAGTGGTTTAGAGAACTCATAATTAGATATTCAAATATTCTTTGAAAGCAGCTGGGCAATAATTTATTCAACTTCCTAAATAATATCAAATTAAATAAGGCTCAATGAATTTCATGATTTTTAAAGCCCCTAAAGCATTCTGATCGCATCCTGAATTTTTTTACAGCTGAGCTTAAGTGGAGTTTTGCAAATATTTAAACACCTTTTAGTTTTAGGAAAAAAAAATAAGTAATATGCGACTCCAAAATGCATAATAATGATTTCCTCCTGTTTGTGCCACAATCAAAATGAGTTTTTTATATTCTTGGTATACAAATATTCAACGGGTATCATAATTATGTAACCAACAAAGTTTTGGATTTTAAAATGTTTGTTTAGCAGTAAGCGTTCTTGGCGGTTACGTCATCAACGCCATATGAAATAAGTAAATATATCGAGTCTCCGTATCATGGGCGGAACACTGCGCAGACTAATCTTCAGCACTTCTGCTACTCTCTCCAGTACGCTCGAAGTGGGTAAGAGGAGGCCGTTGTTTTCATTCTCTTCCTGGAAATACTCAAATTTAGCATGAGCTGTCGGAATTGTTCCTTTATTCGTATTTCCGTACATTGTACAATTTTATATTGAAGATTGATAACAAGACAACTCGAATTGCACGCCGATGTCAAGTAAGTTGTCACTCTGACAAATATGATTGAAGCGCACTCATACATAATAGACCGGGAGTTGTGGGCAAAAATGGGGGGGTCAGGTGATACAGCAGGAAACCTACTCAGAACGATAGTACTACATGAAAAAATAACTTCTAGTACTATGCCGTCACTTGAGAGCGGTACATGTAAGTACAGGGGAAAATTGAATTTTCTATCCAGAAGGGGTCGGAAAAGAGTAAATATTTTTTTACGGCTTTCTTTATTATCACAGATGCCAACAAAATAATCACGATGCACTTAGTGCCGTACGGAAATAATGGTGCCGGAAGCCATAAAGAATTTTTAATTTTCAGGAAATTTTCTATGTGGAAAAATTAATTAATTAACGTACGGCATTGTTATAGTTACCTTTCTGTATTTTTTTACATTTAAAATTTTTTTGGCATCTGTGATACTAAAGAAAGCCGTAAAAAATCATTTATACTTTTCCGACCCCTTCTGGACAGAAAATTCAATTTTCCGCTGTACTTACATGTACCGCTCTCAAGTGACGGCATAGTGCTAGAAGTTATTTTTCCATGTAGTACTATCGTTCTGAGTAGGTTTCCTGCTGTATCACATGACCCCCCATTTTTGCCCACATCTCCCGGTCTATAACGACAAAGTTTTCGAGACGGAGACACACAACTACAGGTATGTCTTTGAGCTTAGCGAACAAACGTTCACTCACACGGGTAGCTTTGATGTGTATGTATGAGGGAGATGACGATATATAAAGGGATACTGGTAGTCTTAAAAGCCTATTGACGTATTGTAATCGAGAAAAATTTTGAAACTGAGATGAGAGTATGCTTTTGGGATGTTATATGAGTGTCATGATATCACTCATGACACGCATTTCCGTCGGTCTGTCTGTCCGTCCGCTAATCATTGGCCCGTCTATAACTTGGAAAGTACCGCTCGGATTTTGATGAAAGTTTCACATAAGGTTACTACTATGTCGGGAACGAAAAAGCTTGCTAGTTTTTAAAAATTGGTTTAGTGGCGGCGGAGAAATAAAAATAAAAATCGCTCAAACTTGTTTTTTCTGTTGTTTTAAAGGATCCTGATCATTTAAAGAAATAGACGTAAAAAATAGGACGGTGAGGGATTGTAGAGGGGTGGGAGAGGGTGTATCGTAATTTTTCGATGTTGGTTGATTATTACACTTCCAGTCCTGATAATAATTCGCACCTAACCTAAATGCAGAGTCAACCTACTTGACGCCATTTTGTCTACGCCGTGGCTTTTGCACTGACCCATTCAGATGTTTTCACTTCATTCAATCACAACTCTTACCTATGTCTAAGTGTATATAAAAATTCATTCAAATAAAGCTATTTTTACTGGGTGTTCTATTTTCTTTGCCACTGAGTATACTTCTAATGATTTCCATCCGTTTTCACCGGCGCGCTGTGCTAGCTGCAAATACGAAATGCAATAACGCAAAATAGATAACTGGGTACTACATTATGTAAATAGATCGAAATCGATTGCAGCAAAACTAAAAGTTATATATTGACCTCGTGATTCAGAGTTTTTATACAGTGTATATAGACGTATAGTAATGGCCTTAGACCAAACGATATACAGGATCATCCAAAAAGCAACGGCAATATTCTTAGGGCAGGCAGTATATAGGCATAGATTACAAAATGTCACATTGACAAGAAATCACGGTATTGTACATTTCTAAGCCATTTACGAGACTAACTACGAACAAAACACAAATGTTTTTTAAATAACGCTGCGGTGGCATGAGATTACTTCCCTAATATACTGCGTACAATTTGCAGCGTCGATGGTCACTAATACCAGCATATTTTCAGAAAAGAATCAATTTAAGTTTTTTATAGGGATTTCACCTCAAATATTTAAATCATCTTATCTCGAAAATATATGGTCTGAAACGAACTTAACAAAAATGCAATAGATACTCCAGAAAAGTTAGTAGCGTAGAAAATGTTTTTCTTTTCTATGTGGATAAAAATATTCCAGATTCTAGACTATTGGTTTAGTATGAGCCTCAAAAACTTTTGTACGTATTAGTTATTTTGTTAGTACTACTACTTAGGATACGTTAATCAATGGTAATTACATGTACCAAATTTTAAGTCTTTACGTTTATTTACTCCGGAGAATTCTTCATCGATTTTAATATTTAATTGCAACATCCTGTATCTTTGTAACGGGACAATTCAGTGTGCTTCCTTGCTTAAATTGAAAATAGAAGATTTTTTGTTTACATACAGGGTGACTTTGAAGTTGAGTCATTAATTTTCAGATAATGATTGTAGAAGGAATATAAACCAAAATATGTGTGTAAAAATAAAATAAAAATTAAAAAAAATTTTTTACCTTGTTTTATAAAGTATCCTCCCGACAAGTATTTCAGTGCGGACCTGTATTTGATCGTGAGGTCCCCTGTGAGGTCTTAAGTCACCTGATTCACGAGCCCGTTGTACTACATTAACAAAGGCACGAGGGGTTGGTTGCACTCGATTGGGAAACCGATCCGCATAAACATGTGCCATTTTTTATTTCGTTTGAGCCACGCAACAGATACAACTATTCACTGACACTGACTGTATACAAATGAATGAAATAATTCGTTCCAAATTCTTTCGCTTTTTTGTTTCCGATGCGATGAACCGATACGACGGATTATATCCGTTGTCGCCAAACACGAGCACATTGAGACAGGGCGGTAATCAAACTTCCAAAGGGCTATAACTTTGTTACTTTAATTTTACCAGAAAAATGGTAAAGGAAAAAAACATTTCTTTTGATCAGATCTACTCACTGTTAAAATAAATGACTCAACTTCGAAGTCACCCTGTATAACAACCTTGAAGAACGAGCACCGCCAGACCTGTTTAAAGATCTTAGGGCTATCACTTATTAATAAAGCCATGCAAAAGGTATTCACGCAGAATATACATCATTAATATTGTAACGAAAACACCGTTTTTACTATTTAAAGTCTAATTTATTACTTTTACACAATTTGTTACAACACTTGGAACCGATTTATTACAAATTTATGATTATGCCAACTGGACTATGGCGTTTTGCACTGCTGACTCGTCATCTGATATCGGTTGTGTCTGAGCGTGACGAATGTTCGCGACAGGGGGTAATTCTGGTCACCTAAGTGTGGATGTTAGGAGGATGTTTCATTATTGCTCAGAGTTCCAGTTATGCGGGCGTTACATTGTGTAATGGAGATAATATAATATTGAACAACTTTTTTACGCGTTCCCGCTCAAAACAGAATATCACAATAGCGGTCCACGCCATTCACTCATTATCAATTCTTAGCAGAACAAAATCAACAACTTCATGACATCTTATTTCTCTCTGAAAACATTACGAGATACTACATATCCCCTACTACATTTTTTCGATTTGGGCTTCGATTACTGCAGGTTAATTCACAAAAAATCGAATTTGAATTTTTTTAAATTGAATTTTGAAAAGAGAATTAGATTTAAACATTTAGAAAAATAATCGGAAAATTGCGAAATTTGGAAGATACTGAAATGGCAATTTTTGAATACATTTGGAAATTTCTAAAATTTCAATAAAACTGGAACGAAATTCAGATTTATTGTCAATTATAATATATACCAAAAATTGAAGGGCTTGATTATAAGTAATTTTGTTGTTGTTTTGGGACTGAAATTTTAGAAAATAAATTATAGTTTAAAAAACTAAAAAACAAGCTTTAAAAGCAAATCCAAGTAAAAAGTAAAAAATAGTGTTTAAGTATAGGAGAGTTTGTCTTACTGCAATAAAAAGTTCAACAATCAAGTATGACTAATTAGTTTGGAATGACATCAATACAAAAATTAAGTTATTAATAAAAAAATCGATTATAGTAAAAATGCGTGGGGTGTAATTAATTAACTATATTTTCATAATAACCCCAATTTTGTAAATATGAGCTCAAGAATCATAAAAAATTTAATATAAGTTTTTTCACTATTATAGAATGTTTTGTTAATATCATATTTTTTATATTGATCTTATTCCAAATTAATTATTCATACTTGATTGTTGGACTTTCTATTGCAGTAACATAATCTCTCCTATATTTTAGTTCGTTTGCTATTAGATCATGTTTTCTTTTTAGTTTTTTTTAACTATAAATTATTATAGTATATCTACTAAAGTACATACAGTACATTAAGCAAACCATCTCTATAATTATTATAATTTCCAAATAACATTATTTCGTTATGGACATTCTATTAGTTCAGTTTAATACAAACACAAATCTAGCACATTTCGGTTTCTAGAACACATTCTCTTGTTTGCTGATTACGTAATCACATAATCAAATGAGAAAAAGTATAGTGCAGCATTTCACTTGTCCGGTTGATGCTGATAAGTTTTTTGCACGCCGCTTTTACAGTATAATTATTAGCTCCTCGAAGTATCAATTTTGATCGTGCCAATCAAATTGATGACATAATATAAATATGTATGGATAGCAAGCAGCACGCTGAATGATCTGAAAGTTCTAAGTTTCCATCTCGCTTATACCTGAACTATCTACGAGGGCTGATCAATATGCTAGCCTCTAACCCCGTTGCAGATTCTTGTTTGAGCAACGCTTTACAAAATATCAACGTCACATTTCCCTTGTTTTGTAGGAATATTTTTAATACTTTTTGTCTGATTGTTTAATGCTGTGTGAAAATGACTTAAAAACATGGATGAATTGAGTGTGTTTTTTTTCTCCTCACTTTCTCTCTTCAAAAAATCTTTGCTTTTCTTGAAAACTCAATTTGCTGCAGAATACTACAAAAGTAGAATTTTGCCTTACAATTTCAGAGCTGTACTAATATTTGTTAAGAAGGTACGACTGAAAAAAGATTGCGCATTAGAATTCACAAAAAAATGTTTGACATAAGAGAATTGTTAACATTGTTTTTTAATCATCCCTATACACAGCATGAAAAAATTAGTTGAAAAGGATTTGGAATACTGGTCCAAACAAGCAGTTGGAGAAACTAGGAGAACCTGTCAATTACAACGGATATCTTGGGTTCAGCAGATTGCTAGACCTACATCAACTGGGCTAATGTTTCGCTGATAGCTTTTACATCGATTTGGGAACATATCGCGTAAAACTGAGAAATAACAAAAGATAACTTCGGAATAAAAGTACAGTCTTAAATGTAGAGATTTTCTAGAAATCCTTAAAAATGGCGATAACTGAAAAACCGTGCACAATCGGATAAGGACGTGTATGGTTTTTCTGATTGGAAATCACCCCTTTCGTTTATTATTAGAAATAAACTCCTTAACAAAATAATACCTTAAAGAGGATGTAATTGCCATACTTAGAGTATTTTCAACTCGTATTTCTAGTGGAATATACCTGAGCAACTTATAATAAATTATAGGGATATTAAAGAAAAAGCATGCGTACAAAACCCTAACAAACAATGATAAATATAAAACCAACCTTCTTTATAACAAAACTTACGAGAGTTTTGGCAATTGCGCACACGTAAACGTTAACGCCAGCCTCTTTTGACATTGGTTACTCGTGAATTGTTGGCTTAATGTCAAAATAACGGTGCAGCTCCTGCTTACAGACATATAAAGAAAGTACATAAAATAGCACTTGCAAACCTATACAGTGTTTTTCAAAATGGTGTTTTTAAACGCATTTGCTCTATCATATTTTCCGGGCGTCAGTTTATTGAGTATATAAAATAAAATTTCTATTGATCTCAGGTTAGCCGGATCCAAATGCTCTTGTATACCTGGGTATACCTGACCCGGGCACCCGGTACTACAAGCCAAATAACTGCGCTAAAATATTAAACAAATACAAATTATGTCAATGCCACAACAGCAAGGAAACTGAAATTGGTAATTAGCCTTTATTATGGTAAACTTTCCGATGGATTTCTAACATCCTTTTCAGTATAAAATAATTCAAATTCCTTTGTTGTTTATAAAGATCATTAGCGTGTTTGCAGTAAGCAGACTTCTTGTATAGGTTCCACTTTATCAGTTCTTCCTTGTCTCGCTTGTTTTACTAAAAGTTAATTATTCAGCTGGTTTGTACAGGATGGATCAGTGATTCTCGACACAAAAATCAAACCCAATAAGTATGACGAAGTAGCTCTCAAATGGCAATCCATATCGAAACCTATGTTTTGATATCATCTCCGTGTATAAACACGATTTATATGCAGTGCTTTTGAAACCGGTCTCCCCAAACTATATTACTAGTTTGTTTATTGGCGATTGGACTGTACCTACTATAGCACCAGAATCAGCGGCATCGAGCGGCCACAGTGGTTACTCGGCTGACAATCCAAACTGACAACCAGTTCCAACAGACAGCTTGCTGTTCTCACTTGCGCAGTGGTCGATTCATGTAATAGATGGTACTTTGAGCTGTCTTGTTTCGATAGTCCATTTACTCTGAATAGAGCAGAGTTGCTCAGCTTTAGTTCGTTGTCCACCGAGATCAATCCTACACCATACTGTTGCTAGTTACCCATGATTGACCGACTGTGATCGGACGATCGTTTGATGGAAATATTTTGAAATAAATAAATGCCTCGACAATGTAGCAGCTCCTTAAACACATTTTATATCTGCCGTATTGAACCGAAGCACACATCTATTAATCTACGGCTGCGGTGGCATTTAGAGCGTCTCCATCATGAAAATGTAACCCTCATATAACTGGAACTCTGGATAGCGACGACACACCTTCGTATGAAAAGATCATCGATCAAAAGATTCTACAGGTGTCCCGAAACATCGACGACTAGGCAACCAGAGTTATGCGGCTGTGCCTGAGCGATTGAGGCACGTTCAAAAACGATCTGCCAACTTCGGGAGCGTTCGAGAATTATCGACGAAGGCGCTGGAAAGCTGTTCGATCCGTTCATTTCAAATTATAAAGGCACGAATACAGTGGACAGGACAGCGTCCGATAAATCATCAAGCTATAGTTTAGTCGTCACGGTTATAAATTTATCATAAAGTAGATACGAAGAGTAGTAAATTTGAATTTGAACAGTAAAAACGGTGTTTTCGTTACAGTAATATGATGCTTGTTATATATGATAAATCGGCGAATTCAATGTCCTTCAAACACGATTTTCAAACACTGATAACTAACATCATTTCCAAAGCCAACTGTGTTGATATTACGTGATGCAAACTATGAGTGATTCGCATAAGAATAACACACGAGTAACGAAGTTTTCTTTTGGTTTCAGATAAAATGCGACTACTTTTCTTCCTAGCTTTCGTCACAATCCTGGAAGCTCTTCACTGCGATAAGGAGTTTAACTACTACGACAACTACGGACACGGCTTTGACGTTACCTGTCAAGGCATCACCAAAGAATACCTCCACCTTTTGGAGAACATTACAATCAGCAACGAAATCACGCTCAAGATACAAAATTCCACTTTGAAAAATATATCCTCTAATATATTTCAAAACATCAGACACATTCGATACCTGTACCTGGAAGACTTAGTGTTTACTTTCCCCAAGAACCACACTGTATTCCAATTTCTTGACAAGTTAGAACATTTAGCTATTATTAATACTAACTTCATCATGACAAAACATACGTTTAAGGGTTTGAGAAATCTCAAAGAGCTCTACCTGCTCAACAACGATATTGATGTAATTGAACCAGGTGCTTTTGAAAGTCTGACTAGCCTTCAGTACCTGGAAATAACCCAAAATAAGCTAGAAGATCTAACTGATATTCCTGCGTGTGAGCTAAAAGAGCTAAAGACTTTGAACTTATCAAGAAATCACTTGTTTGCTCTCAAGAGAAAGAATTTTGTATGCAAGAGTGAACTTAATGGTATGGCATTGAAATTAAATGATCAGCACTTAAATATCGATAAAAAGGATTATATTAGCATCGTAGATACTTCCTTGGGGCTAACAAGCTTAGATATCAGCTTCAATAAAATCAAAGTATTAGGAGAAGCTTTGAATTACCTCAAATTTGTAACATTATTCAATGCCCAATCCAATAAGTTAAAAAGAATAAGCAATGCTGATTTTAAAGCTTTACGAGATTTAGAACAAACATATCTTGGAAGCAATCTTTTGGAAGTTATTGAAAGTCGGGTGTTTGAAGGTAAAGAAAACCTGGAAATCATCGATATATCCAATAATAAGTTACAATGGATCAGTCTGAAAAATATACCTCTACTTCGAGACCTGAACTTGTCACGAAACTTCTTTAAAATAAGCGTATTGCAAAATATTACTAGACCATCATCATTAGTAACCTTGAATTTAAGTATGAACAAACTCGATGAAGTTCCAGTTCATATTTTCCAAAACTTTAGTTCTTTGGAATATCTAGACCTGTCAGATAATCATCTTCAACTGCATAATAGCTCATTCTCAGGGTTGAAGCAACTGAAAGCCCTGAATATAGCTAACAACAACATCGAAGTTTTACCAGAAATAGTTTTTAATGAGTTAACCAAACTAAAACATCTAGACCTTTCTGGAAACAAAATTCAATACATTTCAAGTGAAAATTTAGTAAATGTAACATTCTTGGAAGTATTGAATATTTCTTTCAATCAGTTGGAGCAACTGAACTATGAGCTGCTGAAAAATTTGAACGAATTGCATACCTTGGACGTAGCTGGAAACAAACTCAAATACATCCAGTACGATGCTATAATAACAGATCTTCCACTTCTATCTAACTTAAACGTCAAGTCGAATTTGTTGTCTTGTGAATTTCTATTCGAAATGATTAAATTCTTAAAGAAAAGACATATAAGTTACACCACAGTGGATAAGTTTGACTATGAGAGAGAAAACGTTGCCGGGATTTACTGTGAAAACGAGAAGAAGGCTGTCTCTAGTGACTTGAGAACAGGTAATTCCGATGGAAACATTCTAGTAGATCTCAGTATATTGGTGTGCATAGTGTTAGTGATAGTGATCATTGGAGTGCTAATCTTCAAGATTAAAATATATCTGAAGAGACGGAGGTATAGAGCTGACGAGTTTGAGCTCATAGGTGGATAGGTTCTAAATCTCTTTGTACAGCAAGCATAAACACCACTTATTTCAGCACCCACCAAATAGGTTTTTAATACAACAGGACACGTATTCTGCTATTATCATAATCAGACGAAGATTACAAGTTAGAACTGATATCCTGTAGAAAATCCTTACATAACCGCGTAACAAACAATACAAAGTTACAACTAGAAGGAGCATCCGCAAAAAGGACTTGGAGAGGTCTCGCCGTTTTTATTGCTTTATACAGGGTAATGCTGCTGTACTTTGGCGCAATCACGGAATAGGTTGTCAAAATTGGTTTGTGATGGCATCGAGTAATTATATTTATACAGGGTGATGCATGTCATCATTATTTGGCATATACAATGGATGACAAATATCCTTTGCTCAAAAAAATTCCTAGTTGAAAAATAGTTCTTAGCCTCTACGTCACTGACATCCAACAGCAACGCGAGTCATCTCCGACGGGATCGGATGCCGGCCATGGGCTACCTGGGTCGGGTACTTTTTTATTTGTTTGGATCCATGCTTTATAGTTTAATATCATCAAAAAAAGGCCCCTTTAAATGGATCTAATCATATCTAAAATTGCGGCGAAAATTGTTTTTTTTTGTTGTGCAAAAAATCTAATCATAATATTTTTTCAAGCAGATGCTATCTGCTTTTTGACGGAGTGCCTCTTATACTGGTAACTCTGTATTCTTTTTTGTTCCGGGAAACCAACTTACATCAGTGTATATTACTGATTACTTATTATTTTACCAACATTATTGGAAGGATTCTACCTTCTACGACAGTATGAGATAAAAGTGCTGTAAAGCGAAAAGATTCGAATTTGACATACATTCTTGGACATTTTATAGACGACGCCACAGAAAATGTAGTCAAACATTTTCGACGGATTGTTCAAACATGGTTTACTCCTAGTTCACATTAGAGGATGATTTTTAGCGGGTTAGTTTTCACAATATATTGCAGAAGAAAATACAACACATTTTTTTCCAAATCGTAACAAATACGTTGCTACAGCAATACCATATAGACGACTTGCATATTTCTGTTTTTCGAAGATTGTGGTGCACAATTGCCATGAAATATTTCATGAATGTTGTTTTACAATACACCTGAAAGAGTAGCTACTACCAGAAAAGGAAAGTATCTCGGAGCAAAAAGATAAATTATATCTAGTATTCAAAGTGTTTCTTCAGTATATTCTTATGTAATGATTTAAATATAGTTTAGTTCCTTTGATCTGTGATATGATAATTTATGTATTTACTTCCTCTTATAAATGTATTGATCTACTCCAACTACACGTTTTGTATTCAACGCCGTGTAAAATGGACACGCTTTTTTGACTGATGTATCCAGAAAGGAGTGCACATCTGAAAGTGATTCTGTGTCCAGAATAGTGGAGGGAGTCAACAATTTTCACTATAATGCATACAAATTATTTTCATTTGATTATTTGAACGGTGAATGCACTACAGGAATTCTACATATATTTTTTTTGTTGTTGTTTGGGTCAAAAATGTATATACACCTATGATATGTACCAAATGAAAATAATTTGTTGGATAACTTCAGGGGTACACCTTCCTTGGATATATTTGTATTAAAATAGATTTATACTGTATCATACAAGATAAGCAAGCTACTGCTGATGCCATTGATGGCAGTATCTATATCTGTATGATTATACTATAATTATTTATATTTGTATATTTGAATTATATCAACAACAAGTATGTTTCATATCGTTTTAATCAAGACTATATTTGCGTTTACATCTTCATTTCCATCTGATTCCAGCATTACCATAAAATTGCGTATTTCTTAAGGTATATAAATTAAGGTAAACATTCTTATTTTAACACGACAATAGATTGAGATTGTAGTTTTATATCAGAGAAACCCAAACCAATGTCAATATACAAGAAGTCCTTTGTACGATATCTGCTTGAATATTTTCTACTGCAATGTCCGTTTGTTGATAAGGCATGTCGAATGTTAAATATTATCGCATATTAATATGACTTGTTTACATGAATAAACAGTTCAACAACCGGTACTGCCGCATTAATGGACCAAAAATGCAGATATGAAAGCTCAAATTTCATTTATTAATAATCTGTTTCAAGCTTATTTTACGATCGTTTCCATACGTAGTCGCGAGGGAGTTCTTTGATTTTGTAGAAAACATGCATTTGGTTTGTTTTAAAAGTCAAGCTTCCATCTACAATTACTGACCTCTACTTGATACTCAACAATGTTTTTGTACGATTCTGCCTTAAATGAACTGAATATACACGTATAGAGTGTCCCATTTTAATCTCCCCATCCAAATATTTCGAAAACCACATCCTAGTAAAAAAAAATTAAGCAAATCTGGTAGGGTTTCGAGGGAACAAAATGGTGATGATCTTAGCAATGACCTTGACCACAACCTTTGACGTCATTTCAAATTCAAGTGAATATTTGAAAAAAAGGACTCTCCCTTTTTTACATCGGAACTGAAAAAAGGAGTAAATTTGACTATTCCCGTCAAGGCCATATAAAGGTTCAATCAAGACCTTGAAAAGAATCAGCTCTATCAAAAATGTTCGGCAGCATAGTTGTGATCACTTGTGACCTCATGAGTCTCATATCCGCATGTGACCTTGACCGACTTTTTTCTTTTGGATATGAAAATGACAGTAAACTTTCACTTGACCTTGAAGGCCAAGGTCAAAGACATTTTTGGGTATATTCTGTTTGGGGATTCCGTGCAAAGGTGAGAAGGCGACGAGGTGTAAAAACGAGATTTTAATTATTTATGGAAACGCATGTGTATCACACTGTTGGAATTATGGTGTCAGTAGATATTGCTTATAGAAGCAGTTTATATCCTTGTTTATCAGGGACAACTTTTCCAATAAGATAATGCGCGATCACGTATGTATGCGCTATGTAGCCACAGTTATGTTGGTCCATTTTGAAGACAATTAAGTCTCTTTGTTGCCTTGGCCCCTAGATATCCCAATCTTCCATCAATTGATCACGTCTATGCCATTATGGGAAGAACATTACTCCGTTTACTCCATCCTCCACAGACTCCAGTAGTTCTTGGGTACAAGGTACAAGTAGCGTATGATGAGATACCTCAACAAGAAATCGATCATCTGACTAGTATACATAAGATAACGTAGAGCCTCTAAAATTTCCACCAATTACTAACCTCATCCTAAGGGATGTGTATACAAGAAAATGTTGTAAGAAGTTCATCATTACTAGGTGTTATTATTTCTTTGTCACTTAGTATATTTATAGCGGACATGCTTATGATTGGGTCTATTCCGTATATGTTAATGCATGATAATCGTGGAAAAATGATTTCTCTCTGTTTTCTCCGTAGCTGCAATCAGCGTATCCTTTCTGTTGATGCAGAAGGACGTAATATATCTAAATAACATCCTAAGTAACGGGGATTAACACTTTTATATGTATTAGGAGTGCAATCAAGTGCGCTTAAATTTGACACATTATTTTTTACAGAGCAACAATGAACCTTTACGCGCAATAATAAAGCAATAATATCTATAGATAAATATGATATTCGTCTAATCTCGCACAGACCTAAACGTATTTTCAAAAAATACCCAGAATGTGTTAAATAGGTTGAATTTCTTAATTAGCTGATAACACCTGTTTCTTTTGCAAATAACAGTAGCTTTCTATCAATAATAATCTAAGGCGGGGTTTCTCAACCTTTTTTTTGTTGAGGCTCCCCGGACTATGAATTATATATATTTTCATGCCCCCCTTTACTTTTACAGTAAATACAAAAAAACAACAGACTTTTATTTTAATTCTAATAAAGAAATTTTAAAAATTTAAATAAACTAGTAAATGTTTTTTTATCGAAAAACTTGAATAAAAAAGAGTAGGTACTAATGAGACACTTGAGATTGCATGTGCTGTGCCAATTGGTTGATTCTAGGTTCTGTTTTTGCCAAGCTCTCAACGGTCGCTATCGACATCAAGACGATTTCGCTGTTTAGTTTTAATTAAAACTATAGCAGAAAAGCCTGTCTCACATAAGTAAGTTGAAGAAAAAGGAACTAGAATTCGTAAAGCAAGACAGGCAAGTCTCGAATTGACGCGCAATCTTTTGATCCAAAATTTCTCCAATGTTAAAAGATGGAAGTCATCTTTCATGGACGAATCAGCCTTCATTTCTAGAAATTCTTCCTGAACTTTTTCTGGTAATTGTAACACACCGACAACAAATGGATTTCTTGTCATGTGCCATATTGGTGACTCTGAATTGATGTGTCGATAGTATCGTCGAAATTCGTCTTCCAGCGCTTGCAAATGAGTTTTTATGTCAGCTTTTAAATTTGCGTCTAGTATGTTATTTTTAATTGCTTCGAACAGCCGAGCAAAGATATAACATTTTCAGAAGAGACTTTTTGATTCCAAAGTTGAAGCTTTGATACGAACCCCTGAATATAATCATAATTGCTTATTATAGTGTTGTTTCTGCCCTGAAGTTTCAAGTTTAGCTCATTCAATGAATCAAATATGTCAGTTAAATAAGCCAACCTCCATTGAAATGTGTCATCATTGAACATTGTCAAGAAATCGTGTTTTTCTTTGAACTTAAGAAATAGAATTACCTCTTCTTTCAATTCATAAGGGCAAGCCAACGTGTTGCCTTTGGTCGGCCAACGTACTTCTGTATGGAACAGAAGTACTTTGTGGTCACAATCGAGATCCTCGCAAAGTAAATAACCGACTATTCAAAGCGCTGCGCTTGATGTAGTTTACAATCCTTATAACAGAGTTCAAAGTCTGGCGTAATTTCTGTGGCAATGTTTTGGAAGCCAAAGCTTGCCGATGAATAACACAATAATCAAATTCAAGCGGATAACCAAATGGAAATGGTATTTACCATTTAGGGTTGGTATTTACCAATCCGTTCAAGCGAGTGTAGTTATCAGTTTGGTTATAGGATCCGTGACGTCACGAATCAGCTGTTATATGTCATAGTTATCACCGCAAAATTGTGGTATTTACCCAACTCAAGAGTAGTTTTATATTTCTGGTTATTATTTGAAATGTGACAAGTTAGAATTTTGCCGGGTATTGTATATTGTTACTGTACTTCAGCTTCATTTTTGAGAAAAATGATACAGGCTGACTTCAGTTTTACCATAAAGTGGAGCACCTTATTAGTTATACTCATTACGGTTGTTGGGGACACTTTAAATGTAGTTCCTATGCTTAACAAAGTATCCTGTGTAGCCATATACCACAAGAATATTAAAATATGGCCATATAAACTCACTAGATGATATCCACCTGTATACGGTTTTGCTAATTTCTTTTTTCATCATTTCTGCTGAATCAATAAATGTTTTCTTTGACATGCGGAAAAATTTAGAGAATTGAAAGTTATCATAGCTACAAAGCCATGGTTCCATCATTAAAAAAAAATCTGAAAAAAACATTTCTCCCATGAATATTATGAAAGGTTTCTTATTTAAACTTTCCATATACAGTTGTAGACGAAAAAGCACCGATTATTAAATGATAATAAAAATAATCAGAGATTATATACGCGCTTTTCTAAAATAAACAACTTGCAACAAAACCGCGGTTAAAACCAACGCGTTCAAGCGATTCGTGTAACTGACGTCATCAACCCGTGTGTCATCTTGAACCATATTATAACCGCGGCATATAACACAGAAATTTTGGTTATTCGCTTGGATTTGATTAATGTGTACTAACCATTGCGGGATTTTTTTCCTTGAGCTTTTTAGCTAATCCCGGTCGTACACCTCATCATTGCAGGTGCACCATCTGTGCAAAGTCCAATGAGTTTCTTCCAATCCAAATAATTTTTTTCAACAAAATTTGGTATTGAATTAAATATATCTTCAGATGTAGTACCTGCTGTCAAAGATTGGGAGTACAAAATCTCTTCTTGAATGATATCTCAGCCGATGTAACGAAGATAAACTATTAACTGTGCACAATTAACGATGTCGGTGGATTCATAGCAACTAATGGCAAAAAATGGCGATAATTTTACTTTGTTAATTCTTTGTGACTTTATGCCTGCTGCAATGTCATCGATTCTACGCTTGACTGTGTTATTCGAAGGAGAAATAGACTTCATTTTTTGCTCTGCATCTCCTCCTAAGATTATCTGCGTGGCTTTTAGGACACATGGTTTTATTAATTCTTCACCGATGGTATCAGGTATCATAAAAGCTATTTCAAATGAAGCTTTCAGATGCTGCGATACACCTATGTGGTAACTTCCAGATTTATCCAGTCTCATCCGCTTGAGTGATTCTGCTTTAGAAGAAAAAACTATTTCGACTTCAAAACCAGAGTAGGATGTTGTTGCTTCAAGGCGATTGGGCCTCATGCTATCATTACTTAAAACTTTCATACATATCACACACTGAGGCAATTGTAATATGTTTTCTATGAAGATCAATCCAAACTTAAGGTAGTCTTGGGAAAACTTTCTTTTTTTGCTACCATTTTGCACCTATAACAATAAATCAAATAACTAATAAATAAATAAGCAAAATACTTACATGTAATTACTAATTATATGCCCATTATTTTATCTTAATAACGTAATGTATTCAGCAGTATATTGGCCACCGGGAGATTAATATTTTTGTAGGCACGTTGACGTTATAATAGTAATTTTAAATACATTTGGAATCAATATTAGGTACATAAAGTTCGTCGTTTCAAAATTATTTCGCCACGTTGGTTTGATTGTGATGTGGTGAAAAAGTCCCAATGGCCGATCTATGAACGCGTCTCCACTCAATCAATAATTTAGTAAATTAAATAAAAATGGTAACTGAGGTTTGTAAATGCACAAACTTACCTTTTAACAATGATACACAATAATTTGACACACTCAAGCAGATTTCTCAACAAAACATGTACATCGAAACGTCAAATTTTTCGTAAGTTTGTGGAAATGAATGTCACAGATGCTCATCCGCGTCTGGTAGGTTCACAATTGTTTTCTAAGTGATGAATGTTAAGAGGAGCGCGGTGGGGGTGCGCGCGGATTTCATGTTGTGACTTGTCGAAACTTGTATAAACTGCGATTGACGACGCCGGGTTTTGAAACTGCGGTTGAGAGAATAAGTGACTATGATATTTAATTTCTAATTTTATGCGTGTAAATTGAACATTACATTGTAATGTTATTTGTTAATGTTGTTTGTTTTTTTGTTTTTTCTTTCTAAAATGCAAACGCTTTCCGCCCCCCTTGATATCTCTCTATGCCCCCCTTGGGAGGCGCTTCTCTGGATGGGAACTCCTACTCTAAGGAATACGTATTTCTTACAAAAATACACTAGATTTTTTTATTGTTATAATTAGAGAAACAGTTGCAGTAATAAATCCATATTGACCACACTATAGGGCCGGAGCTTTAATCGACGTTTTGACGAACTCCTCAATATCTCTGAAGTCTTCACCTTGTATAAAAGTAAAGTCGATTTGTTACAGAATTAAATTCTTCATTTTGATCCCATACAATTTTACTCTATGATGAACAGTTTACTAGAAATTTAACGTCAAAGCTACCAGTATTTACATTTTTGCCTATAACTACTAAACTAGTAAACCAAATTCATGGATGATCTTATTACTTTTTATTGAGAATAAAATTTCCTACAAAAACATCTTTTTTTCGAGAGCTTGATGATTCTCGAAGTATAAGAAGTGAAAGTGAAACATTCGTATCGAAGCACTCGTGCGGAGTGCTCGGCTCGCTATATTCGCAGTCTACTAACGCATACAACATTATTACACTTGAGGATAACTCCAAAAATTATCTATGATCAAGAATACCATTTTGAAGTGAATCATTTTTACCGCCTCACGTACGTATGGGAAATAAAATATTACTTGCATCTGTCTATTAGCCATTTTGCCACTGAGTATCCTCTGCAACCGGTGAATTTCTAGTAAAGTGTTACCTATACAATAAAATCGCGTCAAGTAGATGGACTCTATACTTCCCACGCCTTGATTGGAGGTTTCAAAGAAAAGGGATTAGTTAAGTCGTTTCAAAAGGCGAAATCTAATCGTGACTAGGTAGGTTCATCGTGACTAGGTACGATGATTCTTCGACCTCTACATAGCAAACTATATAAACAAATTTATGTTTCCATGGCAGATGTACGGAAAACGTGCGTGACTCATTATATCTAGTAGGTGCATAATATTACCGGGATCAGCAATTTCTTAATATTGGAAGGTCTCTTACCTACAATATTTAACCCCTCCAAGCAATGTCTGAAAATGAGCAGTAGTTTCTGAAAAGTTATAACACTGTTCCAATGATTTTTGTTCATTTATCCGTAGTTCCGCCGCCACTGAATCAATTTTCAAAATCTACCTAAACCCAAACGTTGTCAGTCAGTATTGAATTCGCGTAATATTCGAACTTCAGTTCACAGATATAAGCATCACCCAAGATTGTGTTTCTCATTTACGTCGATTTGTCATTCCGTGTTTCCTGTACTTGAAGAAACATTCAGAGAACATTAATAATAATAACACAAATTAAGGGTTAGGAAGGTACATTTAAGTATCATGAAATTCAGAAAAAATAAGTATATGTGTAGATATAAAAATAATTAAGCCATCATTTAAAAAAGCATAGCAGAACGCTAAGCCCGTACGTATACTGTGGCGACAATGACCAGGAGCCTCTGAAACGTCAAGAAACGAAGTTTGAGCGATTTATATTTCATTTTTCTTTTGTTTTTGGTCTTTTTCTCCGTCACCACTGGTCGTAAATAAGTGACATGGTTTTTCGTAATGTGTGCATATCATATAACATCCAAAAAACATATAGCATTTTCGAAATTTTCCGCAATTACAATACTTCTCCGCCCAGGCGTAGGGAGTAAAAATTTAATTGAAGCAAAATGATAGCGAGTTTGATTCCATACAAAAAAGCTCATCTTATTTTTTTATGCAACTATATACTAACAATATCACTCTAAACAAGAAAAGTTTTGAGGGTGAGGTGAATAAACGAGAGTAAATGCTTTTACTTCATAATTTTAAAGTAAATTCTTGGTAGTAAGTGATTATTACACTTACTATCTCGAGTTATTACTCCTAAAGTAACTATTTTGAGTGTTCACTTACGATTGGAGTGAATAAAGCAATAGAAAACTTACGTATTAAGTAAATACTTTCATTTTCGCAAGGTTGGTTTGAGGTTATCTTGCCGCAATTGATAATTTGAAGTGTCTAAATTATGGCAGCATTTATGGATATACGTAAAGTTAAACAATATCGTGATCGAACAGATATAAGTCCAAATAGTGCAAAACGTCTTTTAAGGTTTAAAAATGAAAATATCGATTTCATTACAAACTATTTCTTACCAGAAACCAACGAAACTCGAGGTGGTGCTCTGTCGTCAAGAAAATATATTGAAATATTTCTCGGGTATATTAGTGGGTTTTCAAAGTGGTGTTGCAAACGATTTTGGTATTGAAAGAAGAACAGTTTGTAAGACTGTAGATTATTTTGCACAAAAAATTATGGAGAAGGCAGGTCAATGGATAGTGTTTCCAACAACCGAACGAGATTTAAACGAAGCAAAGACAAGTTGGATGGCAAAATACAGGATTCCCACCGTAATTCGCGCACTTGATTGTACCCATATACAAATTAAAAAACCTGAAGGGCAGTTTGGCGATGAGTACATAAATAGGAAAAATGTTGCTTCATTAAATGTTCAGATGACATGTGATGCAATGGAAAGGATCACAGGTATGGACGTGCAATGGCCTGGAAGTGTGCACGATAGTAGGATTTGAAAACAAAGTGCTGTTCAACAAAAACTTGCAAGATTCCAAGGGAATGCTTGACAGCGAATATGGCTTTTAACACCATTCAGACAACCACAAATCGAATTAGAATGGCGGTACATTCAAAAGAAAGAGTTGTAATAGATCGTGTATTTGGCCAACTATAACAGCGCTTTCCAATTCTAGCAAATAGGATTAGACTCGCAATAAGGAACGTACCGAAAATAACATATGTTGTGCTGTACTTCATAATATTGCTAAGTATTTGCAGGATGAGTGGGACTATGGAATAGAAAATAATAATGACGATCAGAAATGTTGAGTACCAGAAATTGTTGAGCAAGAGCAAGGAGACATTAGACGTCTTGGTGAAGAAAAGCGCTTAGAAATAGTTCAAATAATAAATCAGTTTAATTCAATTTAAATAACAAAATATGTTTCCAACATATTTATCATAGGTAATAGGTATCAAATAAAAATTATGTAGCTCTTAAATACAGTTATTCTAATTAACACGATACTAGATCTACTCGTACCAAAAGTTCTGATACATATGATAAATTATAGATAAAATCTAATTATTCATAAATGTGTTAGAAAAATTACTTTAACAAAAGAAAATCTTGCAATCTAAATTCCGAATTAACTAAAGGATCGTCATTTTTTTGGGTATTAATAGCTTCGTTTTCTTGCTGACGTAGGTTTTTCAGTTGAAGTTCCTCTTTTTCAATTTGTAGTCTAGTTAGTTTCAGCTGCTCTAGTAGTACTAACCGTTGAAGTTCAGGAGTGCTTTTCATATTGTTACTTGATCTATAGTTACGTTTTTCCCTGAATATTTATGAATTCCTCTGTAATTATCATTCAGGCGGTTTCTTTCGCTGAAACCATTTTTGGTACCATTGACTTATTTAGTACTATTTTATTGTTTTCTAGCTGCAAGATTTTGACTAGTTGTGCTCGGTTATCAGAAACAAGTTTCGGTTGTTTACTTTCTTCGTCACTAGAAGACATCCTAATTGTTAGTAATCTTGAGCTTTTTTGTGTCCGAATTAAAAATAACTTAGTTAAACAAAAATATACAGAAACCTAAAGGGATTTATACGACGCGTAAGGTTCACAAAGCAAATACTCGTAAATAAGACGATTTAAATATGTGAATAAGGATAAACAAGCTAAGACTTGCACGCGCCGCAAGTATTACTTCAATCTTAACAAGTAGACCTTTCTGAGTCATGCCTCACTCATTGCCAAACATTTGCTCCAACTCTCAAGGCAACACTTTTCTCGTAAGTACATGCTTATGAAGTGCTTACTTGGTTTTATTCACCTCACCCAAAATTATCTGTCTTAGTGCCACTAATGATATTTAAAAGCAGTTGAAACTACATATTTGTATGTAGGTATACTATATATACTTTTTACTGATCTTATGAAGTGATTAAATAATTAGACTTCCAATCAACCTTAGCTCCTGTATATTCTCCTTTATAGCATCCTGTACAAAATCAATTTTCTCGTTAACGTAATCATTCAAGAATTATTGCGTGCATCTAGTCCCTTCAATATTTATTAGGTGTTGATTATGTAAAAAGATAGAATGCGTTATACTTATTTTAATAAACTTGCACTTTCAAATTTCACGTAAACGTGTATACGAACTTATGAAATTGAACCAGTGAATGGTGAATTTCTTTGTTTAATGTTACAACTGCTAAACAATCATGGTTTGGTTTTTTCCTTTGTAGTAAATTGGTGTCGATCAATATTCTTATAGTTCAGGCAACAGTTTATATTTTCATTTTTCATGTATGTATGTATTGTATGTATTTAGTACCAGCATCTTTAAACCTATTTTTCACCAATTTCAATAGTCTGATTAACTTGAAAATTTGCACGTGGGTCAAGAGCCGATAATAATACCATGGAGAAAAATTTGGAAATTTTAAAGTTTTTTGCAATTACGAAATTTGAAAAAATTTGGAGAATTGAAAAAAATTTTGAAATTGGGAAAGAAATTTGGATTTAAAAACTGCTAAAACAATTTGGCAATTTGAAAAAAAATTAATAAGTACTATTGTTGTCGTTTTGAGACTAAAAATTCACACAATAAATTATAGAGTGGGTAGTTGAAGGGTATCCATTTTGTTCATATCACATGAAAATTGCTCACCCCTCATCTTACACCTAATTAATAACATTTGAAAATTAACATGTATAATCTGGAATAATAAGCTTGGACCGATGTTCACTTGATTGTTAACATATAATTTACCAATGTGATCGAATGTTTTTTCAAATAAATTATCTTTGAAAAAAGTAAGTAAAAAAACTAATTTTAAAAAAAAATATATCTTAATAAAAAATCCGTGGAGTGCAATAAATTTTCATAAGAACTCCAATTTTGTAAATAGCAACTAAAAAAGTAATTCTAACATTTAACATCAAGCACCCTACTCTTTTTTACTCTAATTAAATTTTTCTATTTTTACTTTTGAGTTCTATTTGCTATTAAAACGTGTTTTCTCTTAGTTTCTCCAAACTATAATTTATTTAAGAAAAAACCATCGATCACATTGCAGAGTATAAATGTATGTACTTAATAATTTTAAAAAGTTATTAATCAGCTGTACGGTGGGGTGTGAGCAATTCTTATGTGATATGAAAAAAATGTATACCCTTCAACTATTCATTTGTCACGTCCCATAGTGGTGAGAAGGCAAAAGAAGAAAATTTTAGTATCACCAGACAGAAGTAGCTAGTAGGTAATCAAGTATCTCCATTGTTACATGAATTATTAGCTGCTTCCCGAACTATAAAGCAAGAAGTAGTTTAATTTATTTACCTTGAAATATACTTAGATCAAATTTAGCGTGAAGTTTTATAATAGTACTATGTATACTATGTATATTGTACTCGTAAGCATGTAAATCAAAGCGGTATAGGAATAAACCCAACAAAATAGAAAATATCGATTTCGGCTATACATTGCGTTACTACAATAGTCTGAAGGGTCTGTAACATGTAAATGTCAAAGTGTCATTTTGCAACATTTTAGTCAAAGGTGTGTTACGACAACAGTTCTGTGAAAAATTTCGTTCCTTTATGGACGGCTTTTGGTATACTCACACCCATGGACGAGGGTGACGTATCTGGTACATTAAAAACGACAGATAACATAAATAATAAAAATGCCTAACCCAGGCGGTCCTGGGCTATGCTGGTTATGCGTGGTGTCATCTTAGAATTTGAAATGATGTGAAAATGAAAATAGAAAACTAACAAAATGTCACCTGCAAGACAGATATAATATATTGGGTCCGACAGGTATACGATGAAGAACGATCTTAAACACATGTAGTTTGATTCACCAAACAAACATGGGTATTATAAAAACACAAATCGGAATTCTTGGCGATGCTTTTCAATATGAGGTCAAATGAGACAAAGAATCTTCTTCTGAAGATAAAATAACACGGGCGAATATTGATAAGCCTTTCTTTATTATACCGTTTTGTAGGTTTTTCGATGTAGGTCACGGAAGTGTAAAAGAAGTGTTAACCTTATGCCTTACACTATAATAGCAATAATTTACTATTGAGATGAAAATTTTAAAGCTAAGCGATTGTATCTAACATATATAAATGTTTAATTTTACTTCTCTGTTCAGCTAACCCTGTGTATATTTCTGGAAGCGTTTCCCTGCCTTATTCAAATCCATTAAACCACTGGATTCACCATTTTGGAAATAATCTAGATAGGCTGACAATGTTCAACTCAGAACACAAAAAAAGGTCATACATCTCAATTCGAATGTACCAACATATCAAAATAGATAGTGCCCTAAACGTTAAGGCCTTGCTTCTCAGAAACAATTACATTTGAAATATTAGTAAGGTACTGTGCGAAATATGCAAATTTCAAGTCCTGCTCTGACATAAGTCTTGTTAGAAAGAAAGACAAGTAGTCTTGCGGAAAAACGAAGGTCAATCGTAGGCATGTCCAATAAAGGAGCAGAAACTGAAGGATTGGTAACCCGAGCGACGTACGTTTCTGCTTATTGGCTTCATCAGGCCAAAATCGAAGTGTATCGAAAACACAGAAGTGGAAACATATGCCTGTCACATCTGGATACAGGTGTAGCCTGAAGAAAAACAATGATAGAAAGGGAAGGGAAGTTTTGTCTAACGTAGATACTTCTGAAGTTGTCGCCGTTCGATTCAGAAACACAAGTTGTTAACTTCTTTCCAAATTTGCAATATTTGGATCTATCTACTTCTTCTGCTGTATCCATCTCAAAAGACCTATACATCTCGAAACGGGAATATCCAGGAAAATAATCTGAATACACTGGCGATGTATTAGTGGAATCTTGAATATACTCAACCAACATTTATATAGGGGTCAAGGATTAGCAGACATATAGGCAGACCGACGGGAATAAATGACATGGTTTTTTGTTATCTACCTGTAACATCCAAAAAACATATCTCATTTTCGAAATTTTTCGTGATTAGAATACTTCCTTGCCAGTAGCGTAGTAAGACTAAGACGTCTTGTTACTTACTTATTTTTACAGCCTCAACACTGAATACATAAACACAGAACAACAAAGCAGAAACCGTGAAAAATACTTCCATCTCGCTAGGTATCATGTGAACCCGCGAATGTCTCTGAAGGTAGAGTTAAAGGTAACTCAAAGTAATAATACCCTACTGTCCCAGCAAACACGATAGTTTCAATAATGAATGAGTCTCGAAGGAAATTATTCCTTATGAACACAGGTCGGAGATATGAGTTTTCTGAAGACACTGTCATACTTTTTACATGTGATTTATGCTATTCAAATAACTGATTTCCATTCGTGATTTGATGACTGGTAGTTGTAAAGGACAGGAGTTGAATAATTGAGTAGGTTTTGGAGGAAAGTACGGTGTTCATTATAAGGAACGTTATGGTAATTAGACAAAATGTGAGCATGTTTGTACAATAAGTACGTTTTTTTTATCTGT